CCCCCAACCCCCCCCGGAGGACCGCAGGAAGGAGACGGTTCCAGCAGGAGGAGGAAGAGGCCATAAATAATGGAAAGCAGCCGAGACACCAGAAACCAGCCAACGGATATTCCTAATGAGACGCTGAAACTTCTCCAGATGTGACAAAGAGAACTCGGCGTGTCATTGTTAATACTGACCTCCCCCTCCTGACGCGTTTGAAGGTTGACTACCATAGTAGTGCACACTGACGCATGTCATTAGGCACTTATGTGCGTTGTGAAGCATCATCATGCTTCATGGCAAAAACTGACAGGGATCTTAAGGTGCGTTTGTATTCATGAGAAACAAAGTCCAATTGGATCCAGCGTCCAGGTCACTGGTGGAACTACAAGGGTCACCGCAGTTGTGACCGGGCCCTGGCGTTCCGCCACTTGGGGGGGCCCGGTCTGAAGGGGGGGAGGGGCAGTCTGAAGGGGTGCCAGGCAGGGATTCTTTTCTACATTTAGCCCTACTATCTTCTGTACTGGAGGGCAGGCTCATAAAGAGAACCTGTCACCTCCAAATGCTATCATACAGAGGCTTGTTAGCTCCTGTGTGATAGCAATAAAATTACGGCACATCATCAGACACCGGGAGTCTTCACCGGCTTCATGCTGATGATACAGATTACAGGTGGTGACCGCGGCGGCTCAGACCGGCAGGAGAATGATTCCGGGAGGGAAGATGGAGAACGGAATATTCTCATTTATTACATATTATAAAGTCTATTCCGACCTCTAAATTACAAAGTAACAAATGGCAGAGGACCGCTCCCCGTGTCTAGTGGACCTCCTCCTTTCTCCTCATGTCTAGTGGGCCTCTTCCTTTCTCCATATGTCCGGTGGGCCTCTTCCTTTCCTCTGGTGGGCCTCCTCCTTTCTCCTTATGTCCGGTGGGCCTCCTCCTTATGTTTGGTGGGCCTTCTCCTTATGTCTGGTGGGTGTCCTCCTTTCTCCTTTTCTCTGGTGGGCCTCTTCCTTTCTCCTTATGTCCGGTGGCCTCCTCCTTTCTTCTCATGTCCAGTGGGCCTCTTCCTTTCTTCTCATGTGCGGTGGGCCTCTTCCTTTCTTCTCATGTCCGGTGGGCCTCTTCCTTTCTTCTCATGTCCGGTGGGCCTCCTCCTTTCTTCTTATGTCCGGTGGGCCTCCTCCTTTCTCCTTCTGGCCCGTAGGTGACCTCCTTTCGCCTCTGTGCCTCGTCTCCTTCTGTTCTCCCTTTGTATGATCATTAGAGTGGGAACTCCGCTGGTAGAGGCTTTCCCTGCAGAGCCGGCAATCACGGGGCTCGTGCATGCATCCCGGAGCAATGATTGGCTATCTGCAGAGCAGGAAAGGAAGAACGGGAGGAGGGGGTCTGTGCAGACACCTCAGGGGAGGGGCTTCCCTGGTCATTTAGCACCAGAGCCCCCCCTTGGACAGGAGATCTTATATTTGTTTACTTTTTTTTCCAGTTTTACTCAGCTTCATTCTTCTATTTTCAGAGGAAAGCGGCAGCCTGTGTGTCACGAATGGTAAGCTCTTGTGCCAAGTATCATGTGGGGAAATGTATCAGTGTGCTCCTCCTATCCCAGAACATTCTATTTATAATTCCCCCGATTACCGATTAGCTGCAGAGTCGCCTCTCCTGACCTCTGTACAATCATAAGGCAGGGGGCGTGCCCCCGCAGTGTGTTCGCCCCGCTCCTCCCCTTCTCCTGTCTAACCCCGCCCCACTAATGCTTTTCTCGGTCTCCGTCCCGACCACGCCTCCTCCTCCTGCCCCAGTAATTACCCCCATGGATCGGACCCCCTTCCCCCGGTGATATCTCTGTACATAGGTGACAACTAACAGGAAGTCTCTGTGTAGGGGACACGCAGGCCGGAGAGCTGGGACTCGGCGCCGTACCTGGAAGACAAGACGCGTTCCGCGCCGGGCTGGAGCGAGCCGTGAGATTGGCCACCGACTTGGAATGTCAGAGGTGACGTGCGATGTACAAAGAGGACCTGTCATCCCCATCCTCCTCCTTCTGACGGCCCCTTGTCCCCTCTTACAGGATTCATATCATGGCAGGCCGGGCCCCGGGGGGGCGGGATCGGGGGTCAGCGGAGAAGGAAATGGAAGAGACTTTTGTTGAGAACCTCAGATACGCGGCGGACATGTTGGATCAGGTGAGTGAGTGGGAGGAGCCAAAGGACGATGATAGGAAATACTGACATTTGGAGAACGATTGCCGGGATTTGATTGGTTGATGAGACATCTTTTTTTTTTTTAAATGATCCTGGAACACGCCTGCTAACATGCTAGAGCATACGTTCTGGTGATCTTGGAACACGCCTGCTAACATGCTAGAGCATACGTTCTGGTGATCTTGGAACACGCCTGCTAACATGCTAGAGCATACGTTCTGGTGATCTTGGAACACGCCTGCTAACATGCTAGAGTATATGTTCTGGTGATCCTGGAGTCCCCGAGTCACAGGGGCCCTCAGTTTCCAGGGGCCCTCAGTGTACAGAACATCCTGGTAATGTGTCACCACTGAGGCTCCGTAGTTTTGGGTGGACGGATCCTTTAAGCCGACCGGTGACAGGTTGTTCCCTCCGGGGCGACGTCTCCTTTAATATAAGACATTATTAGAGGAGGTCATGTGACTTTTCTGGCCATTAACAGACGTGACCAGCTCCCCTCAGTGCTGCTTAGTGTTAGTGACACTGATCAGTGTTAGTGACGGGTGGGGGGGTTGGGAATTATCCCAGCGAGGGCCGTGATTGGCTCACCTAGCTCTCGCTCCTCATTGGCAGGTCGGAATGGTCGGGCTGATTGAGCCGATAAACTGTCGTCTTACGGAACCGCGCTACTTCCTGAACACGCCGCAGCAAGGTGAGCGGAGGGAGGGGAGGCCTGATCAGTTATTGGTGGATGGTATTGATCCGTATTGATCTGATTTCAGCGGCTGCGATCTTACAGAAAGTGGGGAGAGAAAATCTGAAGATGCAGATGGTGAGTCTTACACCGCGTGCGGGGGAGGGAGGCGGGGTGTGACGTCACTGATGTGGAGGAGGGGTGTGACGTCACTGATGTGGAGGAGGGGTGTGACGTCACTGATGTGGAGGGGGGGGGGGGGCGTCACGGTGTG